AAAAAAAAAAACCAATCATTTTTTATTTAACTATTTTTTTTAACTCAGTTTTTAACTTAAGCTAACTGTCATTAATATTATCATTTTAATTAAATAATATCAATCGATCATTCTTACACATCACATCAACCTTAACTAGTGCATGTCCCGTGTGATGCACGAGAAAACAATATTACGATTGTATTATAAATCAAATATATAAATAACATTGATCATGATCTACCCATTGTTTTAAATTAAACCGGGTTGGACACAGACCGACCGGATGGACCGAGAACCGTTTATAATTCGCTTGAATAAAATATTTGCTATTGAATTCGTCAACACCAGTCGATTGGACTGGTAGGAACGATACAATTTTCTAAATAATTTTTTCTACATTTAAAATTATTGTAAATAAAATTACATATTTAAATAAAATAGAGATTTATAAATTGTTTATCAATTAGTTTAAACATTTGAATTTGTAAATTATTTAGATACTTAAGTAACACATTATATTTAATTTATTACAAAAAAATCCTATATATGTATATTAAAATGTTTATACATTAAAATCCGAAGAAACCACAAGTGATTTAATAAAATAACTTGATCGTTTCGATGACGGTCCGGTTCTAAAAACCTTATATTTATTGTACATTAATAAAATTATATAATAATATTATTTTATTCATAAAACTAAAATAATATATAAATATTTATAAATTATTAAACAGTTTTCATAAAAGTATTGTTAATATGATTATTTGAAGTTTGGACTGCATCACATTTACGTAATAAAGTAATTTCAATATTATAATTTATATTTAGGTTCGATAATTGATGTTGTCAGGCCAAACTGATATATAACTTAGTCACCTGAGACCAACTAAGTTGTGTCAAGTTTTTTTGACTATTTTAAATATCACCTAAAAGTAATTCAATCAACCTGGACAGTGCCCTAATTCAATCACCCGATTGATCCAAAGATATTTCCTTATTTTCTATAAATATATTTAATTTTATGAAATATAAATATTTTATGATTCATATAATAAATATCTACACCAAATGATGGTATATTAAGATTATAAATTATATATTTAAAGATGATTTTTTTTTTGTTAGAGTAGTATACTCGGCGTTCCAATCGGATTGGACGTATTCTACTTGTAAATACAATCTATTGGAATTATATTAAATAATAAGGCATTTTTTTATTTTAAGAGTAAGCATTTATCATATATTTACACTTAAGATAAAATCCCTAGA